CCTCCTCCCCACCCCCAAGAAAAAAATAAAACACCTGAATCCTTTCTTGGCCTCCTTTGTGAAGTGCTGGTTCAAATTTCTTGTCCACTAGTTACTCGTTTCTCAGTGAGGTTAGATTTAGCTAGGCCAATGCAGAACTGGCAGACTCTGTGGGTTGCTCTTAGCTCTTTTCAGTCCACTCAAGTGCTCAGGTAATATCTAGCAGGTGGTCAGAAACAGACTCATTTCATTCCTCCAGGAAACCCAAGGAGGCCCATCAGATCTAGGCTTAGGGTAGTAGAGGGTAAGAAATTTCCTTGCAATAAAACCAAAAGTTCTTAGGACAAAGGCTGGAAAACACACTTACATTTTCTTTTTAAATCCTGCTGTACATATTCTAAGTCTGCCAAAGGGTAGAAGCTAAGAGAGCTTTTGGGTCGCTTATTCTGCCTTTGTCATTCAGCATTACTCTTCTGGTCAGAGGAGGGGTCTTTTATGACACCCCTGCCCAAGGGAATGCCAACTGTGCTGAAGAAAAGCTCCAAGGTGGTGCAGCTTCAGTGCTACCAGTGAAGCAACGCAGAATGCAGCCTCTTCTGATGGGATTCTCAGTGGCTGTCTTAACTAGTCTTCTCATACGGATTAACAAGGAGTTAGAAGATGGGAAGCCAAGGTATCGCCTCTCTTTACTGACAAATTGCTTCAGTGTGAAATTTGAGTCAGCAATTTGTAAAAAATCTACCCCTTGCTGCTTTATTTAGCAAAAATTCCTTCTAGTTTCCACTACTGTTAAGTTTCTATGCATGACAAATGTTTTTTTTTATTTGAATGTTTCTATGGGTATTTCTGCAGAAAATTGGGAGACGAGGGTTGCAGGTGTTTGCATTTACATGGCCTTTATTATCTATTTTCTACATGAGAAAACAGGTCCAAAAAACAGTGTTGATATCATATATAAAACTTGTTTTTGGAGAAACTGAAGGCTAATACTATCAACAAAATCTGGCAGACATGATACATTTCTATACTGTAAGTAACTAAAAGTTATTAAGTAGAAGCTGGGTATTCCAGGCACACTGGTAATCTTTAGGGGTTGACACAAAGGAGGTCTACTTCCATCTTTCTGTGTGATATACTTTGAGTTACTGCAATGAAATGAAACTGAGTTGGGTGAAAGATGGGACTATGCTACAGTGCCTACAAATCCCAGATTTAGAGTAAAAATTGTAGGAAACAAACCCTGCTAGGAGTTTCTTGTATAAGGATTATGTCGAGAATGGTACTTTGGCAGGAGTTTGTGATGATAAAGCAAAGATGGGTGCTATCTCTCCAAGCATACTCTTTTTTTTTGGCCATCGTTGGCCCAATTTTGACATTGTCAAAGCAGGTCAGCTAGCTAGTCCCAGTGCTCTCAGCAACTAGCTCAGATTCTTCCTAAAGTCAGTCCTACCTGTGATTTCCTCCATCTTCCCCCAAATGTCACATTGGCACTTGCATTTCTTAAGTTACTAATGTACTAGTGTGGAAGAGGAAGAAAGTCTTTTATGCTGATGGATCAATGTAAGAACACAAAAACTATTTCCAAAACCCAATTCAACAGACTTTGTTGATGATGAAAAAATTATGTATTTTTATATATCAGATCTTCCAGTAAATTAGTAGGTGACTTTAATTAGATGACTTTAAAGTAGTTGACTTTGATTCTTTTCTTTTAGCATTAAAAAAACCCCCAAAAATAACAGAACAAACAAAATCCGTAAGAACTTTGTGCTAAATAATGCTGTGACCTACGTATTACTAATGCTAGAAAACGATAATAACGTATGAGCAAGAAAATCAGTAGCAACATCGTTTACCCACAAAATCAGAAATGGAAATAGAAGCAGGGAAATTCAGTGTAGATGGATAGGAGTATCTGTGAGTAAGCTCTCAGGTTATCCTACTGTGCTGAATATTTGTCCCAATTGCTGTGGA